CAGCTGGGGGCCAGTGCCCACCTCCACCTGCACACTGTGCAACGAGGCAGGCCTGGAGACACTTCTGTGGGAACTGTGTACCTCCACGCACAAGGAAGGCTGCAGCAAAAACAGCTCCAGAACAACTGGTAGAACACATCCCAAGAGAGTAAGGAAAGTAATGAAAAAGAAAATCTGAGGGTGCTTCAGGCCCGCTGGAAGAATGGCTTTATACAAACCCCTTGGATCTTATCAAAAAAACATTTCTGGGCTGGGGATTTAGCTCAGTGGTTTCGCCGCCTGCTGCGCAAGTGCAAGGACCAGAGTTCAATCCCCGGTACCAAAAACAAAACAAAACAAAAAAACATTTCTAAGGTATAAAGTAGTCATCCTCACTAACAGCTATTTTTTCACTCACTGGAAACAGAAAAACTGTATCTCTGGTGTTCAGCAAGGACTCGCCAGCAAGCCAGGCTGCTGGTCCCCTACTTGGACTGAGCAGCCCCTATCCCAAGTCTGCTAGAGCGCTGTGTCACTCTGCGGCCCTTAAGAGGAGCGAAACAGAAATGGTCCTAAGGAGGGTAAGTGCAGTGGCAGTGGGAGCAGTAACAACAGCTTACGCTGCACACTGCCTGCTCTGTGTCGGGTGGACTCGAAGCGTCTGACACGCTGTGAAGAGGCTCTGTTGTCACCTGCATCTCACACAGCAAAGCACGGAGAGGTGAAAACCCAGCTGGTGTGCAGCAGCACTGGACCTAGAGCAGGGAATGAAGCCCAGGGGCGCTTACCTGGAACATTCTGTCTCTCCTGCAACAGGTCAGCTGCTCTGGGATTCCTGTCACTGCCTGCTTTGTGGCCCAGCCAGAGTCACTTGAAATGACCACTTACTCAGGCCACATTCCCACTTGCAGCTGGCTCAGCCCACAGCTGTCGGACTCCTCAGCTTGCTCTAGTCCTCCGCAGGGGACCCAGCCAACACAGCAGTTATTCCCAAAATCTAGACAGCTGTGGAAAGGGTAGCACCATGTGCTGAGCGCACAGGTGACGGCAAGTACACTGTCCAGGTGTGAAAATTCTGGGGTTTCCTCAAGGTTGACAGATCTCCCGGGAGCGGCAGGCAGGGCAGCAAACCCCAGGATTAGATGGCCAATCTCAGGGCACACAGACAACGGTCACGCTTGCCTGAGAACACTAGGCAACAGTGTGAACTGAGGTTTCCTTCTATCTGAGGGCGAGGGGGAGGTGTCAAAGGGGCTGTGGGTGTGCAATCCCAGGCACACACACCCTTCTGAGAAACTCACTAAGGAAGCGGGAAGCCAGAAAAGACCTTGGGCCACTGCACAGGTTAAGATTCTGGCTGCCCCTTCCTGAAATTTTCTTTGGGGCGAAGCATTCCAGCAACAACATCCAGACCCTAGGGTTCCCTAGCACTCTGATGAAGCCATTCCACGAGAAATACGACTTTCACTAAAGAATAACCAGCACCTGGAAGAAAGATCTTTGACAGAAAAAAGTATAACTTCAAACAGAGAAAGCACAAATGGTCATCAGTTCTGGTTGAATTCTGAAAAAGAATTAAGAATTTCCATTCTAGAGTAAAATCACTCCAATGTTTACAAGTTTTTAAGAGCTGAGGTCATTTCTCATGACTTTTTATATACATTTGTTGTACATCAGAAGAGGAGACTTGTTCAATAGTTTATAGCCAAGCCACAGTGTAATTGAGAATGGACATAAAAAATGAATTCATGCAGTTAATTTGTAAAACTAAAACCAAGGATGACAGGGTGTCCTCTTGGGCAGCTCAGGAATGTCCAGTGACATAAAAGGGCCTGGCCTCAATCCTGTGCCTCGCCTCCTACCCCATGCCGCCTCCATCAGATGATGCGAGGTGGTCATGGTGCTCAGCATGCAGCAACGCCAAGGGGGGACCTGGCGTGAGGAGGAGGAGGAGGAGGAGGAGGAAAGACATCCATTCCTGTGCATTGTCCCAAAACAGCTTCCTGTAAGGGCTGCGTTTGAAGTACAGCTATGTAGATGGACAGGAATTATGTTACAGGAAAAGACTTTGGGGGTTAATTTTAAAGCACAAAGGCACAGAGAAAGGAAACTAAGTTGTGTCTGGGAACTACCAAGTGGTTCCAAAAGAAGGCTCAAGGCTTGACCCAGAATGGTGAGGGGCAGCAGGGAGAAATGTGGGAGGTGGTACCTTTGGGATTAGGCACATCCTTCTTTCCCAGCCAGATGTTCTTACTCTTGAGATTTAGAACTTACTGTCCTCTGTAGCTGTATTCCTTTCTCTAATGCATTAACATGCCAAGTTCTGGTCAGCTCTGAAAACATCATTTCTGCATGTACTTCTTATACGGGAAGACAGGCTGCATCCGTCAGCAGTAGTGCATGCAGTCTGAATGACTTTTCTGGGAGTATGGATGGGTCCGTCCTAATCCATCCATGCTGCCTCTCCTCCCGTACACATCTTCCCTGATTCTTGGCCAAGGTCGAGGGTGAAGTGAGCACAGGGTAATGGAAAGAATGTGGGCTTTGGAGACAGAAGCAGGGTTTGCATCCTAAGTGAACTACTTTCCAGCTTAGCAATTTTGGGCAAACCTCAGTTTCCACATCTGTCAGACAAGGGTAATACTTGTCTACCTCTGGGTCACTGACATATGAAAAATGAGAATGTTGTGGAATTGTTTATAAATTTCAAAGCACCAAGGAAAAGGAGCTTATACTGTTTTCCTGCAAGTGAAATCACTGTCCCTACTGAACATTTAGAGACAGATTTTCAAAGATAGTATTAGAATAAGTGACTGGTAGCAATGTTAATGTTCAAACTATAGGAAAGTTATCAATAGAAAAAGAAGTATACGGTAAATTGAAAAGGTAGGTTTGTGTACCTTTCAGGGGAGGAAAAGGAGTAGCACAAACTACTCTGAGTCTTGGACAAGTGTCCTCCTTAGGATCTTGGAACAAACAGATTTCTGGCAAGTGTGGGATCTCTGAAGGTCCCAGGCCACAAACAGAACCCACTCTAGCTTGGAGGTGTTTGGCCTTGGTTACTCCTAGGGTCAACGCAGGAGTCTAGCTTGGGGGACAGCAGTCAGCTGTGGCTGGCTCTAGCTTCAAAGCCCAATGGCAGATCCCTGAACTATTTCTACAGCTTCCCACGAGGACCCACAAGCAACTCTTGGGGCTTCCTCCAGCTCACCATGTGAACACGAATGCACATTTTCTGTCCTCTGAGTCTCTTCCCTTCTCCAGCACACCCTTTATTTACACACATCACCAATCACCCCGCTGTCTGGGGGTCAGTGCAGAGGACCGGTGATGCTTGTCCTAGGAGGTGTGCTTCCCAAGGCAAGACCGTTTCTGAGCACCCATATAATGTGTCCCTTTGGGATCTAGCCAAACACAAATGTGAAATGATAGGAAATGAAAACCCTGACACCTCAAAGTATCCGGCGCCCCCCCTCCCCCGCCCAGTTCCTCATGTCCCCAAAGACAAATGCTCAGTTTTCAATCACAGCTATGAAAAGGAATCATGGGATGGGGTGGGACACCATCTCTAAGTGATCTAAACAAGATCCAGGCCACTCATCACACTAATTTCCCTGACATGATAGATCCATACGACAGATGGTGCTGCTTTGATTTTCACTATAAATTGAAAAACATTTTTTAAATTACCCCCTGGAGCCAGTAGGTCTGGGGCCCCCCACTATCAGCAGCAATGGGAAGCACATTATAATACCCTGGCAGGAACTCTCCATGTCTGATGACAAACACATCTGCAGGGCCAGTCTGGACAGTCACATGTCACAGTGCCACTCTGGCATGTGAGAAAACCAGGAGGCGAAGTTTAGTTCTGTCTGAGGCAGATTAAATTCAGCTGCTCTTAGAAATGAAGCAGAGGTTCCGTGTCATCCTCCATACATCAGGGATAAAAAATTCTATTCTCTGAAGTCTGAACTGCATAGATAGGAGAAACAAGGACCAATTTTTATGAATTAAGATAGATGGGTCATATTTCACATTCTCCACCAGATCTTTTCCCCACAGGTTTAAACGTGGATTATGGATGGCAGTGCTCAGAAAACAGCAAGTAGGACATGGAGGAATGATACAGAAAATGGAGTAGGGCACCCAGGGCTGAACAAGTGTCATCAGAGGCACTTAAACGTACTTAGCAAAAGCTTTGACATTAAAAAAAATGTTTAGCATTTACAGAATAGTCCATCCATCCAGTACTGGGCAAAGAAGGTGACAAAGAGCCTTGGCTGCCACTGGCATGACTGTGCGGAACTGGACATCGGCATGTTACCCACGATACTCTTTCTTCAGAGAATAGTCTTAGTCACAGTCCCTGCAGAAGAGGCAGAGACCCTGCTTCCTTGAAATTAAAATGTGTGCAGCAGTAACAGAAAATGTATACTCTACAAAGAGAAAGGATCTGGAATCAAAAAACTTGGGTTCTACTCTGATTTTCTACTTCCTAGTTCGTTGGTCAGGACACATTTCTCTGAGCTTTAGATCCTCCATCTCTTGAACAGGATTATGGTTCTCTTTGCTTTAGCTGTATTAAAAGTGACTCATGCATTGTTTCATTCAATGACTGACAAGTTGATTCATTCATTCATTCAACCAGAGGCTGAGAACAGTATGAGCCGGGTGAAGGTTGGGAGAGAGGAAGGACACAACGATACTAACAAGAGGCACCTGGGCCAGCTTATGGGCGTGACCAGCTCTGAATTTTCTCTTCTTTCTCTGGCACTCACTTCCAAAGTGAAGTTTCCCCCATCTTCCAGGCTGTCCTTAGTCATTACGCTGTATGCCAGACCCTATGTACTTTTCTTTACACTTTCATTTAAATCTCAGAAAAACCCAAGAAATCCTTGTAATCAGTTCCTTTTTTGTTTCCCATAAGAACGCTAAGGTTTATAGTGTAACTTAACCAAGTCAGGTGGGGGATTTGAACCTAAAGTGGCCTATCTGCCAAACCATGTTCACTCTCTCCACAGCTGCCCTTCTAACCCCCTCGGAGAATTATTAACTGCACTCCCCAGAGCCTCAGCGACAGGTAAGCACCTCGATCAGCAATATGCATTTGTGCCTAAAATCCCAAGGAGAGTCAAAACCACGAAAGCTGATGAGCTCAGCTGCACAAGGGTCAGCTGTATCATTAGCAGGATTTATGTTTATTGAATTTGCTCGATTTATTAGGTGAAAGAGATCAGATTGCTTAGTGTTCAATTAAATTGTACTTGTCAAGGATGGGGAAGTAATGAAGTCTAAAGCCTTGGGAGAGCTCATATGCTGTGGGGCTCCAGTAAACGTTGCTGCTCTGGAAACCTGTGGCCATACACCTCTCAAGATTCCCACCCCCGACTTGCACCTCACATTGCCCTTCAAGTTCAGTTATGCCCAGGGTTTCCCACCAGGTAGCTGCTTAGTTAGCCAGGCCTCGACGAGCGACATCTGTCAGGTACAAACAAGACGGGGCGCGCCTCTCCTGCTCCCCCCTTTGCACATCTTCAGCCCCAAATTCATATTCTTGCAATGGTATTAAATTATGGCACAAGGAAAGCTTTAAAATAATGACTAATATTTCAGGAATTTCGTACTGAGATGAGCATGAAGGGTTTTCTAAGTATCTAGGACTTTGGAAATACATCATTAAGTCTTACGTTTAAGGAAGTCTCAAAGAAAATTTGGAATATGGTTACCTCTAATATCTACTAGGAGATAAAACTGGACAACAAAGAGGTAAAAGAGGGCAGGTAAAGCATTTCATTTTCCTTTTCCTGCTCTTGGATACCACTTTAAAGTGACAAGCTGAGAAGCAGAAAATTGGGGAAAGTGAGTGTTATCCATAAGGACTATCTATATTTCATTTTTCGTCATTAACCAACTAAGAATTACTTAAAAAACAAGAATGAGAGCCGGGGATTTGGCTCAGTGGCACCGCGCCTGCCTTGCAAGCGCAAGGTCCTGAGTTCGATCTCCGGTACCAAAAAAACCAAGAATGAGCCTAAGAATTAAGTGGAGATTCTAACACATTGTGAATATGTTAAGTGGTCCTGCATTGTTCACCTTAGAATGCTGTATTAATTTTACTTCAACTAAAAAGAAAGTCGAGATAAAAAATATAAGGAAAATGCAAGTTGCATACATTAAATCTGGAATTCATCTAACTTCTATTTTTAACTATAAGATGAGGAAACAAGACTTCAAGCTCCTTCTAAGCTTTTGAATCCTATGATTCTAAACTGAAAACATTTTACTATTGGGCTGGAAAAGACACAGGAACAGAAGGTACAGTAATTTGTTCTTGTAACTTGCGGCTGCAGTGTGAGGTACTCACCACTAGGTGCCACTGTTCCCTCCAGGTGCTGCCCACCTGGATGTGGGCCATCACCAAGGACATTTATCACTGTAGGCATGGACAGGCTAACCTTCCCATCCTGCATCCTCCCACCAAAGACGGAGGTTTAGAGAAATGTAATTGTATTCCAAAAATCAAATCAAGTTGAATCCTCAAAGTTTTCTTTAAAAATCTGTATCGATAAAGTTATATTGTGAAGTATATATATTTTTGGATTTAAATTGTTTCCTTTTTTATTAGTATGTGTTTGTAGTTCATAATGTTTACATTCCTGGTGAGGAATTGGTACATGAACATAATACATCTTTAATGAGATGGAGGAGGGAGGGGTGAAGGGAAAGTGGATGAAACAAGAATTAAGATGTAAAGTACATGTTGATATAGCTTGTTTTAAAAAGTTTTAGGATAGAGAAAACTCTTCTACTATTTGTTCCAATATGCAGAAGTATAGATCTCAAGGTTCTGAAACAACAAGGATCTAGCTGCATTCACTACCATTATTTGCAGAGCAAGTTCTAAGTAAGGTAATATCAAAATACACTAAGTAGAGTCAGCATTATTATCCACAACATGGAGCTTATTCAACTACAGGAAAAATCCCTGCTAAACAAAAAACTGGTACTATGTTAAGATCTCTGCCTTGATTTTATGATTTCTTCATATGTTGCTGTTTACCTTAATTTGAGATGATTCTCCTCTTCTCTCTGGCTCTGTTCACAATCATATACAGCACCAGCAGCTCCTATTTCTGCAGTGATTTTTCTGGCTGTCCTCGGGAGGGGCTCACAGAGTACCCTGTGAAGGGCATCTTCTAGGGTTGAGCCATGTGCAATAGCACAACTGTTCACAACTGCTCTGCCTGTCCCTGAGGACCTGAAGCATAAAAAGGCTCCAATGCCTCAGGAACCCTCCCAATGAGCTAATCTTTCCACAATTCGCTTCCTTCTGAAGGAACTGGCTCCTGATGCTTAGCAAAACAATTACCTTCCTAGTCTCTGCAGCCTGCAAATTCATGCAAACTCAAGAACTTGGTGGCTTTCTGAGTACTTCCAAGGTGCTTTTCTCCCAATCCTAAGGGGCACATGGTGTTTGCTGCATGAAGGGAGAGTCGATAAACTTCCTCACCTTTCTCTGCGAGGCAGCCTGCTCTGGTCACAAGCAGGGAGGCCACAGCTTCATTCTAACCACAGCTATCCTAGAAAAGGCTAATAAAAAGAGGGACAAACACACACAACACTGGAATTCAAAACCTCAAAACAGAACAGGACTTGAAACAACTGTGTCCAGGGACAGTTTTCCCTGCTCACTCTCGTCATAATTCACTCTTCTTAGAGCACACATCAACTAGGCCTGTTACCAAAGAGAAAAGACAACCAGCAAATTTTATTTAAAACATATGAAAGTAAAATCCACCAAAGATGAAATCATTTAGGACATTTGTAGAAAATTGAGTGCCTATTCACCAACTCTCATATCAAAGGAGAAAGTTTAAACTGCGAACGCTGTTAACTTTTGAGGTAAATTAGATTGCTAGGTAATTAAAAATGTGTTATTTTTGTGATCATATCTTACATGCATATCTTAATTCCCTTTTAGATTCTAAATTAGATCCTAATGTGACATCAGTGAGACTGTAATCCTAATTAAATTTATGTTCTATTCAGAATGTTACCTTAACAGAGAGTGGGCAAATGCTTTCCTAGCACTCCCATGCAGCGTAGTGTTTAGGAAAATAGACATGAATGGAATGGACACTCCTAAGTCCAAGTGTGTAAGTTAACATTTCAGAAGTGCTCATGTCACCAATGGGCAACCTGTTAATCAAACTCCTCTCACATTGTCCTATGACTGTTGGTGATGACACTGGGACAATGGCTTCAACCAGCTTCTAACAGTTTATGCCCAGCTCGCAGTCCAGCAACCCCACCAGGACTTTCCTAGCCAGAGTCCCACAGGGTCACTGATGGGCAAGCAGTTGGGGGCCACTGCCTGCTCCAGGAAACCTCCCCACAGTTTCATCCTCAGCAATATGGCGGGAAACCAGGAGTGCATTCCCCGTCGGGCTTTGTTTCTTTAGACTATCCTTACTCTGAGGCAAACCGTGTTTACATTTCTCCTAATGTGCTTTTTCTCAATGACTTCGATATGCTCCTAACCAGAAAGTGACTCCCTTGTCCATGCTTTCTCTTCCTCTAATGCACCTGCCAAAACACAGTTTAAGGCTAAAAAAGCCCCAGCACATTTTGGGTTCATTTCTAGTATTTTTTATCTTATCTACTGTCCCCACTTTGGTACCTGGCTTCCCTGCCTTTCTTCCTGTGACCTAAGCGCCTTTCCAAGATAAGTATCTCTTTCAGGGTTCAGTAACAAACCCCTGGAGGGCTACAAGAGCCCTGTCCTGTTGGGAGCCCTGAGCTTGCAGAGAGGCTCACTTGTTTCCCTTTCGGAAAGGGGGCCTGACTCTGGAGGGAGGGCATGGGAGTTGGAGAAAGGTTTTATTATTTAGTTTTTTCTGTCCTGTTAGTACTCTTAGAGCCAATGCACTAGAAGATAATGATGAGAACTACTTGGGGTGCCCTGATAGCAAGGACAGAAGAATGTGCTTTTCCACCCCCTATTTGGCAGGGAGACTCCCCGCCCCGCCCCGCACTGTGGGCACACAGTCCTGGCTGGAATACTTTAGTAACTGATGGAATCAGTAACCTCAGCTGGCCTACGATGGCCATTCTGCTACAGAAATATAGACAATTAAGTTAGAATAGTAACACTTTTAAAAGTTTTAGAGAGGTTTTTTTCTTATTGTGATGTCTATCATATTTAAGGGGATCATATAATTGAAAAGTAGATAGACAAGCACTGTGATTGCGATTTGAAATGTAATTGATTTTAGAATTAGGATCTTGAGATGAATGAAAACTAGTAAAATTTGTTTTGTTTTGTTTTGGTACCAGGGATTGAACTCGGGTTCTTGCACTTGCAAGGCAGGCGGCAGAACCACTGAGCTAAATCCCGGCCCCAAAATTAGTAAAATTTGATTATGGAAAGTAAACAGTATTTAAAGTTTTTAGAGCACTGACTGATTATATTAAAGTTTGACTTATTAGATTATAAGAGCTGCTGAAATGTGTAACAGGATGCTTATTAGGGTTGTGGGCTACCCTTGCAGTCGCATAAAGTGCGTAAGAGAAAATCAAATGTTTATACAAATAAACACTAAAGTAATGTTTATAAGCGAAGATCTTTATGGGAGTAAATTATATATATAGGATTAACTTAATCTCTTCCTTTAAATATAAACAATCAAAAAATAAAGATCAATTTATTTTTTAAAAAGTTAATAGGGGGCTGGGAATTTAGCTCAGTGGTTCCACCGCCTGCCTCATAAGCTCAAGGTCCCGAGTTCGATCCCTGGTACCAAAAAAAAAAAGTCAATAGATTTAGGATGACAAAAAAATCTAGGTTTTAACATTTACCAACTGAATCCATCAAGCACTCATTCAAAGCGCAACATTAAATAATCCCTTCTGTGCAAAGCCTCCCCTGATATCATAAGTTCCTCTGGTAGTGGAGGGGCCTGCAGGACGCACTGAAGCATTCGATCTGTCTCCAGTGTTACTCTGGGCCACCCCACATCCTGAACACCCTCCTATCTGCACTCTTTGTGTGCAGCCCCGAATAACAAGGGAGCCACCCAG